AACCCACCCCGCCTACCCACCGCCATCTCCCTGCCGCCACAGCTATGCTGCCTCTTCCCCGCTGCCGCCACCGTTATGCTGCCCCGCTTCCTCGCCGCCAGTGTTACGTAGCCCCGCCACTTTCCAGCCTTCACTCCACCACTACCGTTAGACGTCTCCGCAGCCATCCCTTTACCGCCCCGCCACCCCATCACCTCTCTCCCTTTACCCTTCCAGCCGCTATCACCACTGCTCCCATCACCACCGCCACTTCCACTTCCTCCACCACCGCCATTACCACCACTACCACTTCCACTCTATCACTACTGCACCGCTTCCGCCGCCTCGTCTGCTGAGCGACGATTTCAAGCCTGGCCGCCTGACGGCAGACTGTACCGCGGTCGGCTTATGTGGAGGTTGGGAGGATAGAGTTTATATTGGGAGATGTAATGATGGGAGTGATGCGTTTTTGTGCGAGAGTTTGAAAATTACGATTTGAAAAGTTTGAAGTAAAAAAGTGCGTGTTGGAAAGCTGCGGAGGTAAATCTGCCGGCGAAAAAATCTAAAGCTGACAGCTGAATCATTCAACAAACCGTAGACCGTGTTCCATTAATTGATCTTTTCCACAAAGCTGTGGGTTAATTATATCTTATAAAATAGAAGCATTAAATAAAATCCGGTTTTCAGTAGAATTAACATATCTGGTGAAGCGAAAATAAACAAATTCTTTGAATGCATTTTTTCATTTCAACATTATTTTACTGAGTACCGCGAATTTGATTAAAGATGAGATGCTTGAATATTTCAATTGCATAAAACCCTCAGTTATCATAGCGTGTTTATCGGGTAATAGAAGTACAGTGACTATTCACTTAGTACACAAATATTCCTATTATTCCCGCTCTAATCACCTCCGGTATATACTTGACATGTATGAGCTCAAGAATAGTGAGTTGAGGTAGAAAGATACTAATGCAAGAAAAAATATCATTCCCAATAATACGATCTATGAATGAGACGAAACAGCGTATTCATATTTTAAAATGTGGTTATATAAAAAACCGAATGGCAATGTTTACCATATTTAAACAGGCTCTATTGTCCTTGGTATATATACCTGATATTTTCTTCTATATGAATGAGGTTTCGACGGAAAAGTATTTGAATTTCTCTCAAATTTGCAGAGCACGATCGTTCTCTGAAATAATTCGTTTTTAAAGGGAAACCACGTTTCTGTATGTTTATTACTCTAAAAAGCCAATTCCTGTTCCGAAGTTTCGGTTTTCAAGCCTCTTAGCCTCGAGCGGTAAAATGAAGGAGAAGTTTATCTCCTTCAAGGTGTGGTGTGAATGCTGAGCAGTGTAATTATAGAAATCGCAGAGTTTGAATGTTATTCTCAAGATTTTCAAGCAGCTCGCAAAACTCGCGAATCGCCCAGAGATGATCGGAATTTAAGAACCCTTAAAGTCGAACGTTACGGAGACTGAAATCAATATCGCGTGACCTAAAAGAGAATTGTAGTCTTCTGAAACTCGCGTCTACGTTTTAACCAAATTTCGTGTTTTTCTTGTTGCTCATTGACGCCAGAAAGTTGACGCCAGTTTTGCGAAAGTTATTGACAACAAATTTTAAATATTATTATATAAAATCTAGTTTCTAGTCTTCAAATTGGATGGAAATTCTGTCTCTAGTCATCAAATATAACTAAACTTATTACAATTAAATACAAAATTCAAATAACTATTGAAATAAAACTGAAATACCAGGAAAAATTTGTAAAGAAACACGGGATAACAGTGTCGAAATATAAGGCGATTGCCTGTGAGAAAATATCATCGCAAGGACGTCCCGCATTAAGTGCCTTTTCAGATTGTTTCCTTCTTACGGATTGAGTACCGACTGTGGCGGAGTTAAGACAGCCGCTACATACAAGTAGATAGATCGAGCTCAGCCGCCGTCTTGAAGTGTCCTTCTGCGCACACACACACACACACACACACACACACACACACACACACACACACACACACACACACACTAACACTAACACTAACACTAACACACACAAAAATAATCTACAATGCCGTACATGCCGAGTGAACAATCGGGAGCTGAGAGCTTGTCCCGACTGGAACAGTGCCCTGCTGGGGAGATACCTGATGAGGGAAAACGCTGCAAAACTTACATGTTGGTCTGCGCCGGATCTCACGTTCCATCGGGTGAGGAATACTTCCACTCACGGACTATACAATAACGGTACACTTGTGGAACTAATGACTATAGTAGTTGGCGCTCCCGAAACACTAACACAGACACAAGAAAAAAGACTTAACACACGTGTCTATGTATGAGGACGCGTTGAATTCGAATGTAAAGTCAGAATTGCACCACCACCCTCAATTTTTCAATCGCAAAAACAAAAAAAAAACAAAAAACATTAAATTGTAAACTTTGCGGTGGTTTTCACGATGTAAAAAAATGGAAGATGGTGGCGCAATCCATCTTCGTGGAAGATGGTGGAGAAGAGGAGATGGTGGGTTTCGGATTTGGATTGAGCCCGTCGTCATTCAGAGAAACAGTTGTCGAGTCTTGGGTCTGACACTTCCCAAGAGTATAATGTTACAAGACACCAAAAATCTAGTATTCGCATGCGTTTTTCGCGACGCATCGGATTTGGATTCAGACATATTACTCAGAGAAACATGTTTCGCATCTTTGTGTCTGAGAACTTTCTTTTTATTGTGTGTGCCAGCGTGATGAATCCCATCCCTCCTCCCCCCTCCCAGCGTGAGTGTCACTCGGCCGCGCTCGCTGCCCGCAGACAAGCCGGTGTGCCGCGCGGAGCAGCGGCGCGTGTACGCGGTGGCGCGGCTGGAGCCGGCGAAGGTGACGTGCGAGGTGGACGCGTACCCACCGCCCGACTCCTTCCGCTGGAGCTTCAACCACTCGGGCGCCGGCGACGCGGCCGTGGAGGTGCCCGAGGCGCGCTACAGCGGCGGCGCTGGCGCTGGCGGGGGCGGGGGCGGGGGCGGCGGCAGCGGCGGGCAGGGCGGCGAGGAGGCCGGCGCCTCGTCCACGCTCTCCTACGCGCCCATGACGGAGCTGGACTACGGCACGCTGCTTTGCAGCGCCAACAACGCCGCGGGCCAGCAGCGCGAGCCCTGCGTCTTCCACATCATCCCCGCAGGTGGGTGAGCTCCTAGGAAGGCGTGGGAGTCCTGTATTTGTGATATCGGCCTTGAGTTGTTTAATACTTATAAAATAAAAATACGAAATTCCTGTGAGCAGGAGAACTCAGTCATATTTGCTTACATCTCATTTGTTTCGATTGTTTATAACGAACATAGGACTGTAAATTCAACAAACGCAGGCCGTTAAGAGCTGTTTAGTTGCATTATGTTGTCGTAACAGTATAGTTTTAGGAAAGGACAGTAGAAGCAGCGAATGCTTCATCAAGCGTGGCGCGATCTGGTGAAGCGTGTCAGTTTTGCGCATTCATAGCGAGGCCTGCCTAGTCTTTCTGAAGCGATGCACACTGGTCCCAACTTCCGAAAACCTTGCCACAATTGGAAGGTTCGGCTTGATTTGCTTCAAAATTTGTAGTTTTTATTAAGATTTTTATACTATTAATCAGCGACTTCTGGAGCTCCTGCTCTTTTCAAGCAAATCAAGCCAAACTTTCGTAATTTGGCCAGATTTTTGAGAGTTGAGAGCAGGATGCGGATCTAATTTACAAAGTAATGAAAAGTTAGACAATAGGTAACATACTTTTTTATTTATTTTCCAATCTTCAAGTATTGTGATGTGTATCAATGTTTTGCAGGTCGTCCGGAACCACCCTTGAACTGCTCTTTGACGAACCAGACGACGGGCTCGCTGGAGGTGGAGTGCGAGGAGGGCTTCGACGGGGGGCTGCCGCAGACCTTCCAGCTGGAGGTGTTCGACCTGGAGAGCGGGCTGCTGGCCGCCAACGTCTCCTCGCGCTGGCCGCGCTTCCTCGTGGAGGGGCTGCGCGCGGGCCGCGTGCTGCGGGTGCACGCCTACGCGCTCAACGCCAAAGGGCGCAGCGAGCCCTTCGCCCTGGAGGGCTTCACGCTCAAGCAGGCCGAGAAGCGCACCGGTGAGTCTCTCTCTCTCACTTGGCCCTTCGCCCTAGAGGGCTTCACGCTCAAGCCGGCCGAGAAGCGCAACGGTGAGTTCCTCTCTTTCACTTGGCCCTTCGCCCTAGAGGGCTTCACGCTCAAGCAGGCCGAGAAGCGCACATGTGAGTGTCTCTCTCACTTAAGCCCTCTAAACTGGACATCCTGTATATCTAGGAGTATGCAGTGTGTGCCTTTGTTGAACGAGGTTGAATCCCTATGTGCTTGGGTGCTTAAGGTCCTCGGTGGCGCTGGAGCTGAATGACTTAGCTATTAGTCAGAAATACTCAGCTGATGAAAGAAACTCTCCTGCATTTAATAGATGAGCTGGAGTCCCTCTGTGTCTGTCGCTATGCCTTGGTTCGATGAGGCTATGTCCTTGTGTGCCTAGGGTCCCCGGTGTCGCTGGAGCTGACCCCTCTGCTGGCCACGCTGCTGGGGGCGCTGGCGGCGCTGCTGCTGGTAGCGACGGCAGGTGTGGCGGGCGGGCAGGAGTGGCGCTGCGCAAGCGCCTCTTCGGCGTTGCGCGGGCGGCGGGGCCGGCGCGCGCAGCGGGACGGGCGCGGCGGGCGGCCCGCAGCGCCCCACGGACCTGGCGCTGAAGGAGAAGGCGCGCGGGGGACAGACGCTACGAGCGGATGCCGGCCTCGGCCTGGACTTCGACGCCGCAGACGAGAAGAACCCCGACGTCATTCCCTGCAACAAGGGTGAGCGCCGGGTCAAACGAAGCCCTGCTTTGCGGAATGGATTTTCTAAATTTCCCTATTCAGCACAGTAATGGTGTGTAATGTAACCTGAGTTACATTTGTGGAAATTGAATTTTTGGAAATTTTTGGAGTTTGTGGAAAAGAGTTTTTTTGGGTAACCTTGTGAAACTGATTTGGATAATTCCATAAACTAATCTTAGTGTTGTTCAGAGAAACTAAACTTGTTTTTTTATAATTGTTTAACCAATTTCGGAAGAAGGTTGTACAATTCTACGTTTATTTTTTCTGTAATAGTTTTCGCAAATGTACCCTGATTTAAATGATTATTCCGTTGAATTTAAAAATTTACCTCTAGGTGTTACCGGGGTACGTTGTACGATGTAATGTCCGGTAAATTAATGGAGGGTCCAACAGACACTTTTGAAAGATTTTGTAGCTACGTTTTGCGTAGAGTTGTTTACGTCATTTTATGCAAGAATCAAATATGTGATGGCAAACTCCTACGCTTTTTAAGTTTCCTCTGGCTTAAACAAAATATTTTCCAATGTTCCTCAAAGATAATAAATTCAAATTTTAGGCGTAATATTTTTATTTATTTATATGAAAACTTAAGTCACTATACATACAAATTCTATATAATATTTATTTATTTACGAAATATTTATTTATTTATTTACGTCAAAAACATTTACAACTATGTGTGACGTGGTTTTTTGCTAGATAAAGTATGTTTCGCTCACAGTCTGTAATAGAAATGTTCAAAATTTAAATAAAGATTTCAATAAGAACAGTCAAAAATCCAAAGTTCACTGTTTCAAATTTTACCTTGAGACAAAAAAGAAAGGGGAAAAGCTTTGATACAGCAAGTTGAGGTATCATCTATATTTTGAATCAAAGACATTATTTGTTTACATGCTACTACTTGCATGTCCAATCTGTTTTCTGTCTGTAGAGGCGCAAGATGATGAAATAGGAAATGCTTTAACGTTGCTACTGTAAGTTTTTATGATACAATGCACGAAAAAATCGAAATGTATCATTATATTCGCTTTAAAAGCTAATATGTAACGCTAGTTCTTTTCATGAGTAGTTTAAAAATTATTTTGTATTTATTAGTTATTTCATTATCTTTTTGTGCATTTGAAGGTCATATGGTCAACAGAAAACGATTGAGTTCAGTTAAGGGATATAAAAGATTTTTTGCGAACAAACAATTTTAGAGTTTTTAATGAAATTACTTTCATTATTTGGACGTGCTTTCGAATGAAATATTTTGGGCGTTGAGACTGTGTGAAATGTTGGCTGAATGTATATGTGTATGTTCAATTAACGATCGGTGTGAAAACAACAAATCAAATGTCAGCAACATGTGGCTACAGACTTGACTAAACGTTACAAGCCCTGTTTGATCGCTGTAACAATACCCACACTTTTCTGTCTGGTCTCATCTGGTAATTCTGTTTGTTATTGTAAAAGATTTGCGATCGTGTCATACTCGACCAGTCATTTAGCTAGTTGAAAAGCTAATATATCACGAGGATGGTGATTTGAACCCTTCATATCCAAATTATGTTATAGTTTTGTAATATTTAGTTGATGAGGTATTCTTAAAACGTGAAGTACATTAAAATATATTACGATAGCTGCGAAAATAAGTAAATTTATATTAAAATTAAAAATTGAGTTTCTAAATGAGTATTACGAGTGAACGCGTAAGATTTAAGAGTAAACGTGTTTTGTCTTGACTAATTGTCTGTATGCAGATAATTATTAAGAGTTTCTTTGACTAGACAAAACATGTATGTGAGATTAACGAATTGTAAGTAATATTCTGCGTGTTTAAATGCGGGAGAGAGTCTTCGTTTAATCCAGTAACAGCGAGAGGTTTGTGTATCAGTATGATCAGCTAATTACCTGTAACGCTGTTTTATCTAAATATGCGTAAGGCACTAAACAGAAATGAATTTTCACTAGGCTAAACGTATTTTTGAAAGTAACCATTATCAATACACTGGCTAAACTCAACGTCGGAACGTGTAATCTTAACCGTATTCTTGCCTTGGCCAAATGTGTTTATGTAGAACTAAATTCATTTTGGCTAAACACATCATGAATGTAGGACCAACCATTTGACAGGAAGATGCCCCGTGTGAGCGTGAGCCAATGACAGTGAGCGATTTGCGCATCAATACAATCAACCATTTAACAATAAATGTGGTTTTGGTTAGACTAAGATGCGTATGTTTGCAATAATTATAATGCTAACCACCGTTTCATCCATCGTTATGCTAATTAGCAAACCTCGTAACTCCATAGTCCCTGCTTTTTTTTCTGATTACTTCATGATAAAATATAATAATGAAAGAAGAGAAATAAAAAAAGGATATAAGAAATCAAGCATCTTCGAAGAATTGAGTTCCCCTATATTTATAAGTTGAACAAGAAAGGAATAACATTCTTCTTTCCGGCTATGTTTACTCTTTAAATTCTTGGCTATCCGGGGAACGCCGCGTCGTTGGTTGAGAGACCGACGTTTCGCCTGACATATCGCAGCCTTCCTGAGGGCAGTGACGAAGCCCTGAGGTCGTCACTGCCCTGAGGAAGCCTGCGACATGTCAGTCGAAACGTCGGCCTGTCAGCCAACAACGCGGCGTCTTCCGGATAGCCAAGAATTTATGGATTCGAGCCGCGGAAGCTTACGTGTGCGTATGTTTATTTTTTTCATTGCGAAACTATGCAATCTGGAGTTTCGAGATATGCTGATGAGAATGACGGTATACATAAACCGATAAATGATATTCCGGCTCTACTAAGCATGTGTGTGAGAGTTAACCGTTTGCGCCCCCCACTAACCGCGAGCGACCCCGCTCCCGCGAGCGGGCGAGCGCGTGTGCTGATTGCGGCGGCGGCGCGCGGTCTAGGCGCAGCGCTGGCGTCGGTGGGCCGCGCGGGCATGGGCCGCTTCGGGAAGGCGCAATGGGAGCGCACGCTTGCAGACGCGGAGTACCAGCTGGCGGAGACGCCCGGGCCGCTGACGCAGGGCCTGCTGACGCCCACGCCCACGGCGGCCTACGGCGCACCCGCGCCCCCGCGCGTGCCCTCGCCCCGCGGGCCCTCGCCCTCGGCCGCGCACTGCAACGGCGCCCTCTACGGCACCTACCGGCCCCTGGGGCCGCCGACCCACCTGCGCTTCCCCACGCTGCGCCAGGTGAGCGCCTGCCCGTGGAAAACTCTCGCCCTCTCGCCCCCTCCGCTCTATCCTTCCTGTTCTACTCCACCCCTCCACTTTATTGTGCTCATTCACTCTGCACCGACCACTCTTCTCTATCGCGACCCTCCATTCAACCCCCGCTCTTCTACTTTCTACCCCTCCAATCTATCCCGCCTGCTCCTCCCTATCTCGCTCCACCACTATATCCTTCTCCCTCCAATCCGCTCTGCCAGCGAACTAGCCACCCTCCATGCCCCGCTAGCTTTCCCCACCAAGCCCCTCCCGTCCCCTCATGCTCTCAGCCTACTCAGCCTACTCTGCCCCTTAGTTCCATAAACCCTAATATCAGCATGCATTGCAGAATGTTCTGAAGTAAATACTCTTTAAAAACCACGTTTTTGTCTCTTTAAATGATATATGTCAGTACATTTCTTCTAGTTTTACATGCATAATAGAAGGAACCTGTAATACAAATATCATGTTTCTGGACAGTAGTCTTTACTCTGCGTTGGTAGTTGAATCAGGGTCTTCTCTCTCCAGCTACTGTTTCGCCACTATACAAAAATTATGAAATATCTTAAAAAAGGGTCCTTTTTCATAATGATGTATCTCACAAGTTACTTTCTTTTCATGACCAAATACTGTGCTTTTTATATTCTCCCTAGCCATTTTCTCACCATCTTTCTTTATTTAACTGAAAAATAACGATTTATGATCAGTATCACTTTTCTTTTGCATCGACGATATTCTTGTTGCTGTTAGTTACGGCTGAGGATTACAGTCCTTTTTCAATGCTCCATCAGTTATTTTTCCTCCTCTCCTTCCAATATTTAGGTGCCCTTTCTTGCTGATTGAAATCTTAATTTTTAACACCGTTTTTCAAAATAACCTATCCATAGTTTTTTTCTCAAATACTACCAAATTATTTTTAATCAAATTCAGTTGTCTCATTTTATCCGGAGTTTATTTTTTGGGACTTATTACTACGAATATTATGATAATCTCAAAAGTCTACATAAGGGAGGAGTACTTCCCAACATCATCTAGAGTCAATCCTCAGATGACGTAGGTTGACTATCAATCAGGGTTAAATACAACATGAAAAACCTCGTTAATGTTCATTGGCAAAATGTGATCATCTTCACCTCCTACATGTCCTAAAAGTTAGTAACATTTATTCTGAAATACCGTGTGTTCCTTTGGTTGCCACTTGCGCGCGTCGCTGTGTGCGCAGGGCGAGGAGGTGCAGTACGCGGAGCTGGCGCTGTCCCGGTGCGGGGTGACGCCGCCGCCGCCGCGCTCGCCGCCGGAGCCCACCATCTACGCGCAGATCTCGCACACGCTGCGCGCGCACGGGGCCACGCCGCGCTGCACGCCGTCGCCCGTGGGGCCGCCGCCGCCGCCCATGGCGCTGCTGCCCGGCCGCGAGGTCGTCACGGTGCGCACGCCGCTCATGATGGGCGACTGCGCGCAGGAGAGCTGCGTATAGCCCCGCGCGCCAGCGGCAGCAGCAGCGACGGCGACGGCGACGGCGGCGGGGGGTGAAGATGGCGAAACACGGCCGCGGGCCGGGTGAACGTTCTGGGTGTGAGGAGGGAACTGAACGACATTTCGAGCGAGACTGACCCACACGTGGGATGAGTGCTCCTGAGTCGGCGGATTTAGGTTGAGAGTTCTCTGCAGCAGCAACAGCAATGGAAGCCACCGCCCGTTAAGTTCACCGTCCGTTAAGTGTGATGTGAAAAATGAGGGACGACGCAAGCCATACTGATCAGCGGTATGAGGAGTAGCAAAACACTCAGGTTGCGTGCTTTGTGGAGCAGTAATACTACCAAATTGCATACTCTGTGGTAAGAACATTGGCTCGCTACTGAATGCGCCATGTTGATGAAAACGAGAGATATTTCAGTCAGGAGACTCAGGCTGGATGCTCTGAAGAGCAGCAACACAGCATGTTTCATATTATATGCCGCGAAAACATCACTCGGACACGGCGCTGAAGGATCGGCGTGCTGGATGATTGGTCGTAGTGGTGAAAGCCTGATTCAATTCCAGCAGCATGCTTGATGAGTGCTCCTTGAATCTTTGGCCGAAGCACCAATAGTAGCTCCCGAAGCGCGCAGCGATGGTGTATGCCCAACAGAAGAATATTCAGCGAGAGCGAAGGAACAAGTAGACTCTGATGAACTGTAATGAGATTTAGTGTTCTATGAAGCAGAAGCACCAAGTTGCTTACTCGGCGGAGCTGAGGCAGTTCTTTACTGCTCGTGGACGCCATGAGGGCTTCGCCGCGCTGAATGACCGTTCCGCGTGTCGGGGAAGACAAGAGAATCGGAACGGCAGAGGGGAGAACAGTTGCGCGCCCTGTGAATGCGTAGCACTTAATCATGCACGCATCGGAGCACGATTAGCAAAGCGTGCGTGCCCGTGACGGGGAAGGTGATGGAGGTTTCACGCAAGATGGAGCTGCTATCCTGGATTCCAGAAGGGGCACATCGTCGATGGAGAAGACATTGTGTGAAGGGAGGACATTGCGCGTCGTGTTGGTTGCGATCCGGAAGAACTTGTTGCCGATAGATGTGTTGTTTCACAGAGTCATGCATGTACAGAAATGCAGCAGTTTGTTGCCAATTACAAAAAAGGATCATCTTCTATAAGAAAACTTCGGAAGTAATATATAGAAAACACTACTGAGTCGCTAAACATTTTTTATTCAACTCCTCTGATACATGCAAGTGAGGGCATATGACTATGTGAACAAAACTTTAAATACCAGTAAAATCAATCATTTATTACGGAGAATAAAAGTATATTATTCTAATACCTAGAAATAATCTTTTAAGGCGTGTGTATTAAACGTCAGCAGTTATCTGCCCAGCTTTAAATACCCGAACCTGCTCATCGCCAATGAAAGAGACTTCCAGAGCAGTGATTGTACTTGCTCAGCAGTGACTCGTCATATGCGCACAATAAAAACCATTCTCTCAGACGGTTTGTAAGCTCTCAACCACAAAATACACCACAAAAACTTTATGGCGCACACTCATCGTCAGAACTCATTCGTCCCCACCATGGACCTGGACGAGAAAGAATACTCAAGATCTTCTGTTTGACTCTAGTACGTCATTGCAAGTCCAACTCAATTTTCCAAGAGTTACCTCTATCTCCAGGGTACAGAACTTGTCCATTTTACCTTCTTTGTGACAGCAATGGTATGTCGTCGAAGAATCTTCCCATTTCTGCAGCCTCCGTCATGTAAATGGATCGCAGTCTCACGGACATATGAAGACCCATATGTGAGTGTTTCTACCTATCAATTGTGTAATTAATGGTGATGGGATGGTGATGGTTGTGATGGAGGTGGATATCAAGATGACTAAGATACATTTTAGTGGTTGAAACCGTGAACGAACTGACAAAAGAGAAATATATTGTATGGCAAAGTAAATTGTTGACACATTGGTCATCCATATATGGTCTCACTAAATCCAAATGTTTAGAAATACTTCATCTAGGGTTAATTTTCTTTATACCAACAAAGAGATTAGTGTTTAAAATAAATGAGATTGTCTCCTGTTGGTAGACTTTATGTAATCCTTGATAAATATTAATATCGTAAGCATTTCAAAGCAGCGATCGTATTAATAAGAGACGACATGAAATCAGTATTAGATATTTAACATGTGACTAACACTAACTTAGAAGTCCTTTTTGAGTTATGCCAATGAGATAACAGTTAACTTTGCCTTGTAATAAAATAGAAGGGAATGTTTAAATTAATGACATAATTGATTGAAAAACTACAACATCGAAGGATAGTTATATCGACGACTGTTGCTTTTAAGACATTTACAGAAATAGCACTGTTGTGGAACATATGTTTTTGTCAATTGTCCGTATTTTGTTTGACTGGTTCTCCTCGAATCCTGGTGAAGTTCCCGCTTCCTCGCCATAATCTGTTGTTAGTTTTGCGTCGTAACTCATAACACCATGTGAACCTCCGTCTCATCTTTTCTCTAAAAATGTCGTCACATCGATGGTACATTGTTCAGGTCTTCCACGTCTTCTTATAAATTGCGTCTACATGTTTTACTCAACTCTCTAAATCGTGGAGAACTGAAATATCGTGTTAAGTAATTGTACAGTAATGTGTTTCATCATAGGGATGTATGTTTATGAATTCGCCGAGTGTATTTTGGAATCAAAAATCTCTTGATCGCATATCAGAAAAGCGTTGATGCAAGAATTACATCCAGCGTTTCAAAAGTGATTGCATTAAACTGAACAACTGCAGGCCGCATATACATAAATAATCAAATGCAGTATTATGGCGCAATGTACATCCTTTAATGTTAACCCAATTATGCAATGTATTGAATAACACAATTTTCACGGTTTGTTCGAAAAAACTCGTCTTCGAATAAATCGTGTTATATTTTTTCGCACTTTGCGATAGGAAAACGTGTGTAACGCTCAGTACTCATTCACTCCCAATAATTTTTTTTACTGTTGTACGTACGACTAGATAGATTGAGATTAGGAAAATAAACAACGCACACAGAAAATAACTGAATTTTGTAAACAACGTAAAAGAGCAAAAGGGCTATTCATATTCTGTCGAGAGAACGAGATCCTTTCCCTACCCTGGAAACGAAGTCGCCGGCGTTCGCTGGGAATCTGTGCAGCGCAGCAAAGCACGACGCGACGCGGCGGGGGTTCCAAATCCTTATACTCCCTCGCGACGGCGTGGCGGGGGCGGGCGGGCGGCGGTCGCCGGCTTCCGAGCAGCACCGAAGGGAGAGAGAGAGTCTTTTCGAATCGAGGACCTCGATCGCTTTGGGGGTCCGCTGTGTTCAAAACAGGGCGTGCGCGCCGGCTCCCAAGTGGATCTCAAGAACCTGCGTCGAGGCTGGGCTCGCCGAGAGCTCTGACCTCCCCCTCCACTGTCCACCCCACTCCACCGACTGTGTCCTTCGTCGCCGGTGTCCGGGCGAAGTCCGTCTAGACGGCTACGCGTCCGATAGGGGGGATTCGCGACTGCCCTAACCAACTTGCTACTGGCCTCGCTGCGGGAAGTGTCTGCTGTAAGGTCCCTGCTCTGGCGGATGTGTTATCTAGAGTTCTGCTACCTTTCAATACTGCCCTGAGAACCAAACACTCTGTTAAACATTCAGCATTTCACATGGCTTGTGGTTTTTCAGGTCAACCTGCATGACTACTTTTAAAGTTTAAGTTCACTGTCAATGTGATTCGAACATCCCATAATCTTCTTACTTCAAGCAGCGCTTTCATGTTTGACGAATATCAAACGTATATTTCGCGTCTATCATCGTTCCAAACCGTTGGCTCGAGTAACGTTCTGATGTACACCCACATCCCCCCAGATTAACCCAAGGACGCGGCCTCTGTCTGGCGCCTCCCAGGACATCTTGTCTCTCCAGCTCTCTGACGAGTCTCCCTCTGTTGTCCCGAAACAAATCTCCATCAGATTTCGTAGGGCAGTGGCCGGGGTGACTGCGGGGCGTCGCTCTCGAACCGCTTTCCGCCAGCGAGACCTGATCCCCGCCCCGCCCCCCGCCCTCCCCTCCCTTCGCACCGTGTTTCGCCGATATTGGCCTTCGAGTCATTGCCGGCCCCCTCGAATACGTTTGCTCAGCAACGAGGCCGCTCCGCCCGGATAGAGCTCGGGAGATTGCTCTGGCCTCGCTTTGGGCTTAAATGAGATCCTTTCTTGCGCGTATGCACGACTGGATATGCGCATTCGGAAATTTCGGGGCTCTGTTTTTTTTTTTCTTTCAGTTCAATGTTATTCCCGAATTGTCTATACTTACTATATCTTCGTTCGTGAAATGAAACTGACATTTCTCGTGTTAGACCGGTCATAACGCGATAAAATCCTGATCCTTTACCCATTGTAAGACGAGAGAAGAAAATCTAGTGCTGATGATTGCTTTGGAGGAGAACTTGAAATTTGTGTGCATGTTCTGAATCGAAGTACTGATTCGGAAGACTTGATTATGTTGAAATTTGTGAACGTGAATACGTTGCGTTGCAACTAACTTCTAAATATCTGCATCCAATACGCACATCCTTTTATTAGATCTTGTAGATTTATTAACAAATATATTAAAATCTTAGAATGAATTATTTATCTATATTTTGATTTGACGACTGAAGTTACGCCTATTAAAATTCAGGTATTTGGTTTTTGTTAACCATTTTTAGAATTTGGACTTTCAAAACAACCAAGATCATATGAACACTGAAAGTTTTGCTTATAACTGCTCATCTACAAAGTTCTTATGATTTAACATCTTCTGAATATCATTATCCAATATGTGGCTAAATGTTAATAATGTAAGTGTGTTCCATGCAATTTAAGATCTAAAAAGTTACAGAAAGCCTGTTTTATTCGTTTTGAAGAACTATAGTATCTTTCTAAAAACGTTCTGTGCATCGACCCTCCTAGGAGCCGAGACACACATTGGAAATATAACTTCACTAATTTTGTGTGTTCAAACCAATTAGTCTCACCTTGGTAAGTATAAATTGAGCCAACAAATTAAATATTACATTTTAATTCGACGTAAATTAAATTCTGTATGAGAAACCTCAGTTGACAAGAACACTAACTCATATGCGGGTTGAATTCTCTCTTTAAAGTATTGTTATTAATTAAGGGAATTCAGCAAATTGCACTTGAAACTCTCTGCTGTTCAAATATTAAATTCCGCGTATTTTTTCCGAAAAGCAGAGGCCCTATCAACGAGTGCAGATCCAGACGCCCATCCGTCGTGTAGTTCCGAAACATCGTAGTGAACTGACTGCACACGAAAACAGTTATAAAAGGGGATCGAAAACAGTTATCATTCGAAAGTGACTTTGCACGCTGCGAAACCCGCGCCCTTCCACTAGGCTTCGCAGGGGCAACCCAATGTCTGTGCCCTTCCTTCTCTCTGTTCCTCTCTCTACTCCTTCTTTCTCCTTTTTCCCTGCTTCCTTTACGGGACCCGCTCGTCGACAGAACAGCCAGAGCACTACGTTGTTGGAGCCCTCTCGAGGACTTGAATGTCTCGCCTCAGCCTCAAGACTCCTGTGAGTGATCGTGGAAAAATACTGTCTTTTTAAATATCATTGCGTCTGTTGTATGTCGTAAAAGTTTTGTGTTGATAAAGGAAATATATTATTGGTGTTGAGTGAGGTCTGTTATTATGGTCTTTGATTTTTTCCCGTGATTGAATATCATGCAATATGAAGTAAGGTGGCTGCTGCCGTAATGGGGCTGGTTCATTAGCCTGTTTACTGTTCCGCACGTCCACTAAAGGGTGTGATGACGACAGTGAAGTGTGTACCGCCATGTAAAATGATTTATTACCAAGAGGCAATGATAATTTCGTCAAAGATAAATGGCAATTAACCGTTTTACTGCATTATATAATTTGTTCAAATTTCCTCCTTACAGTTGGTTACTGTTCCATACGTGCGCTTGGTTAGTTTGTTTTATTGATTGTGAAACATAAGGCATTAAATTAACTGCTGAGGGATAACTTTTTGCGATTAATCATTAGGTTTTGTACTTCGTATCCTCACTCCAGGATAGAGAAGACTAAAAATTAAACATCTAAAGGAATGAGACTATAATAGTTATCTACTTAAAAAAAATTATACTCGGAT